TATTTTTCTTTCAGAAATTACCGATTCACCTTTGCATTCTCTCTCTCTCTCTCTCTCTCTCTCTCTCTCTCTCTCTCTCTCTCTCTCTCTCTCTCTCTCTCTCGTCTTTTGCACTAACTAAAACACAGTGGGAAATTCTTGACTATGTTTAAAATCTTCATCTCTCTGGTTATGGACAATACACCATAACCAGATAGTCTTGTGCAGCCCCTGGAGTTTTTAGGATTTCTGTGGGGAGGCCATTAGATGTGGAGTTTATTTCAGTCTGCATGAGCATTCTGTTTGGGGATTTGTTGACACTAACGCTTTGTTTTTCCTGTTCCCCTTATACAACATGCCTGGCAAACTATAATTATTAGTATTTCTTTTACAGCAGGATAATTATTTGTTATTTTTGCTTAAGTAATAAAAGAACCTAACAGTGTTCTCTCCACAAACAAGACTCTTATGCACAGGATTATAGGCCTGCATGTCTGTGAATACGGAATGATCCCAACTGCTCCCCATGAAACAGGCTGCCCCTGTAAATCACTCTAGTGAAATACCAAAGACAGTTTTATGGAAGTCCTTTACAAAAACGTTCCACAAGAAAGCAAGACAGGCACATTTAAGATCTCCCTTTTCTTAGTTCCAATGATCTTTTTAACCACTGATGTTCGCACCAGAGAACAAGCGTATCATTAAAATGACTGTTGGTAAGATTCTTAAGACCAGGAGCAAAAAACCTGTGTGGTACAATTTGTGATTATGTAGATAGGGCACTGAACTCCCTATGTGACAGTGGTTTTAGTTAACCCAAAGGCCAGACTACCCAATCAGTTCACCTGGATTAGGGCAGATTAAGGCAGGGATTTATACAGTGTTCTTGTTTCAAGGGTAATGGGCACAGACTTAATGGATGTTTCAGTGTCTGATAGGAATACTAAATTGAAGCTATGATTAAACACATGGAATCAGTCTAAAAGGAAAAGTCTGTTCATCTTTCTTGCTCCCTAGCCGAATCTACAGCCTACTTTTGGTACCTCTCCTTAATGTTGGGGAGATCAGGGAATATCTCAGAGGTAAAGAAAGTAGTGAATGCACACAGTATGCAAAACAAAGTCCTCTCGCAGACCATGGGGGTCTGCCACAGTTCAGCAAAGCAGAGCCCTTAGCTCCCAGGAATGTGTAACATGTCCCCGTAGGCAACGGCACATTCCTCCATCCAGCAAAAGCAGGACATCTGTGGCTTTACCTTGGAGTCATACAAACTTTTCTATATCTGTGTTTTCCCGACCTGAGCACACATAGACTTCAAACTGCTAGGTCAACTTTGAAACCAGTAACAGCAATTGTGGGTCATTCCACGGATGAAAAGATTGGGACAATTAACTAAAAAGAAGGGTTCTCTTATATAGTATTGTATTTATTCCAAAAATTGAGATTCTGTCCCAAACTTGCACAACTGTGGCTATACTATTATGTGGCCAAAAAAATGGAGGGTAGAAGAGATAAGAGGTTAAACAGGGATTTTAAAAAGGGGGCAACTCTTCTCCCCATTTATCTACTAACAGCGGCCCAAAGGCACTAACCCTTAAATGTTTCCTCTGTGCCTGTTTCCCTCTTCTACTTATAAAAGGTGCATGGACCATCATTAGGTAGAATATTATTCATGTACATTCTGTCAATTATTTGTGCTAAGCCCTGTTTTCAAGTTTCTACATCAAATGAGACAATAATTATAAAGGAACATTGGAGGTGAGGAAGCTCTCGCTGCTTTCGTTTAGTGTCATGGTCTTCTTAAGCATCTGTCAGGAGCAACATGCCAGGTAAAACAAAAAAATCATAGGTACAACATATTATAGTTTCCACATTGTACTTTAGCCTTAAATAAACCAGAAATGCCTTGGCTTCAGGTCTGTTTGGACAGGGAGAGGCAACCCTGTTCAACCAATTGTTACTGTCGCCATGCTTGAAGCCAGTTTGACTCCTGGTTGGAGATGAATGAGAGTTGGCAATGCAAAACCAGTCATCCTCTCCCTTAAGGACACCTTATCTTTCTTTGATATTTAGGGTTAATCAGTTTCTGCACATGGGTTCAGTTCAAGCCCCTGATTTTTTAACATGAGATGTCCGCCTGAGTCCTCAGCCTCCTTCCTAGGGCTTCCAGACAGGTGTGGTCCCCAGAGTATCTCTCACCAGTCGGCTTCCTATTTCCAGAAAACAGGCAAGTTATGAAGCCATTAAGGTTTGGTAGTGAACTTCCTTCCAAAGTGTAATTACTTTAGAGAAGCGGCACCAAGCCCCACAGGTAGCTCTTCACATTTACAAAACCCCACTGGAGAGTTAGTCCAGTTGGGTGTGCTCAGAACCCACTAAGGTCCTCTCCAGAACCTGCATCTTTGGGGCAGCTGTTTGGCTCAGGTGATTAGAGCGCAGGCTCATAACACCAAGGTTGCCGGTTCGATTCCCACAGAGGCCAAGAGACTGTGCCCTCCACAACTAGATTGAAACAACTACTTGACTTGGAGCTGATGGATCCTGGAAAAACACA